CGGTGAGAGATAGAGCCAAACAGACGAAATTTTCGCCCAGAGGGCTCTACTTTCACGAGTTACCCCTTAGGAGACCATAAAAAAAATATTTTTTTCCCACTTCTTGGACCAACCCCTATTTCTTTGTTCCCACTCAGACCCACTCAGGGGTGGTTGCCAGGATTTGCACCAACCGTTTCGTTGACCAGAAGTGACAACAATTACACCCTGAAAATTTCAAACCTGTAGCTCACGTCCTGCTTGGGAAACAGACAGACAGACAGACAGACAGACAGACGAACACAGAGGCGATGGCATAAGCCCGCTTATATAGCTTTTAAGCAAAAGAGCGGGCTAAAAAGGTAAAATATAAAATCACTTAAGTTTTATAGCACAATTACTTTTAATGAGCACCAATGTCACACTCATGTTAACTGCAACGAAAGCAGGTGCTATACCAATTGGAATTCTATTAAATGAGGCACAAACTACAGAGAGCTATGAGAGGGCATTTAGTCTGTTCAAAGAAATTTATCCAAATGCCTTTGGAGGCAAAGAAGTAAGTGTGTAGAGAAATAGAAAAATTATACCATAGGAGCATTTTATCACTTTCTTTCTCTTTAGATGTTTTTTTTAAATATGTAAATAAATGTAACTCTTATTTTTTTTCCATTTCAGTATCCACAAGTTTTTATGACAGACAACTCTGTCCCAGCGAAAAGTGCAATTCATGCCAACTGGCCCCAATCAATACAACTGCTCTGTGCTTTCCACGTTGGTCATGCTGAATGGCTATGGCTGCAATCAAAATATGATCAGAAAAGTAGACAGCCACTGATGCAAGGATTTCGGAAGGTAAATGAATTTTAAATAAGAGATGTGATTAGTGATCATGCATTCAAAATTAAACCATAAAGGCTAAACTTTTGTTTGTACTCTACAACAGATTCACTACAGCAAATCTTGCGAGGAGCTGCAGGCAGGAATTGAAGATTTGAAAAGTATGAGTTTGGACTACTATGAAGACAGAGTGTCTGGCTTGCTTTAATCAAAGGAACAGTGGGTATATCTCTTTCGAAGCCATTTTCAAATTGGAGGACATCAAACCAACAACTATGCAGAAGCCTCAGTTCAAATCTTAAAAGATGTGATCTTGCAACGTACTAAGGCATTCAATGCAGTCGCTCTTTTTGATTACATCTCTGAGACTTGGGACACTTACCTCACAACCAAACTATGCAGATTTGCCTATAAGAGGAATAGGAAGCCAATTCTTCTCTACAATGACTTGGGGCAACGACTGCCTGCAGAGCTTGCAGATAAAATTATTGTAATTGATGAAGACACATATCGTGTGCCAAGTTCTGTCACTGGAGAGGCCACATACGAAGTAGTTGCTAGTGCTGGATCATGCATGTGCAAAGCTGGTGCAGCTGGGGCTTTCTGTAAGCATCAAGCATTAGTTCATGAAAAGTTCAACTGTATGTTTCCCAACCATCCCCTAATCACATCTGCTGACCGTTACCTTATGGGATTGTTGGCTATGGGAAGTGAGTGTCCGGAAAAGGAGTTTTTCCTCGACCCTAAAGAGCCACTGGAAAATCTTGAGAGAGACCTGCAACTCATCAATCAACAGGAAGAGTTAATCCAACTAAAGATGGGAAGTGATGAAGTACTCCCATCAAATGAGGCTCCAACTGCTCCACTACAAAACCATGAAAGTGGCGATGAAAATGATGATGGAGATGGCGAGGAAGTTTTTAAAACCTTTGTTGAGAATTGGGAAAGAGTGTTCACACTTGGAACGGAGACAAACAAAAAAGGTTTCCTAAAATTTATGAAAAGAGCAAATAATGCACTGTCAAAAGTGAAGAACAGCAACAAGGCATTTGAAGGCATGATGAGGACCTCAGCAGTTCTGAAAGTCAATATTGCTAGGTATGGTAGAAAAATTCTAGTCGGGGTTCCTTCAATTGCAAGGAGGCGACCAGGATTGACTAAGGGGACGAGCAGAGTTAAAGGTGGCAGGCCAGCTGGAGCAGTTAAAGCCAAACAAAAGAAGAAAAACCCCAAGGCCCACCAAAGTCAACGTCAAAGAAAGCTTGGGGCAAGTGTTGCTGCAAACAAACCTCACTACAGGAAACACTATTTACCAAATTTTAATGATTTGTAATGATTTGAAAAGTATGAAGTTTTAGTATGTTAGTATGTAATATATGAATATTTTTTAGAGAATATTAATAATTATTATGGTGTTAACTGTTACATTCCTTTATGAGAAGAATTTATGTTAATTTGTAGTTTTAAAAACACAAGTGAAAGCAGAAATTCTAATTATTTCTACATTTTATTTTCTATGTGTTTTAAAAGCGTAGTCAGTATGCTATAATGCTTACCTACAGTTATATTTTATTATCCATTGTTGTTGAAGCTAGCTAAGGTTACCCACTTACCAAAGTCCGTACTTTTATACTTTTAAATAAATGATATGCTTGTACGTACTTGATGGTAAATTGATAGT